GTCAGCCTCTTTCTTGCTCTGTGCTTTTTCTTGATTGCAGGGTTGGCACAGAGTGCCCTAGTGCGTGCATGCAGACACACACACACACACACACACACACACACACATACACACACACACACACGAAAGCCAAAAAAGTAGACCAGATGGAAAGTCAAGGAAAAAATCTGACCCCATTTACTCAGTTTGCAGGCAAAGCTAGTGCTCTCTGATGTGGCAGATGGCAGATGCCCATTCCATGAGGTGGACACTTTGGGTCTCTGGACACACACTGCCCATTAGGGATTTTCCCATGGTACTGTTACGTGCCACCACTGTCCATTTCTATCTTTGCTGGATCTCACACAGACTTTTCCCTGGGATCAAACAGCCCTGTAGACAGATGTCTTAGTTAGAGTTGCTTCTAGATGCCAAGCCCTGCCATCTTTCACTGGGTTCCTACAAGTTCTGGAAACATCCATCTCTACTATAGCTCACTCCTTTCATAAGGTTCCCTCTGTTCCTCTATACCTCACCACTGCAGCAGAAGTCTAGCCACTCTTCATCTTTTTGTGTCAGTATGTCAACTAGATGGAACATTTAGAGCCTCTAGAGCCTTGTTCAGCTGAAACCGTGCCCTCCTGGAGTGAGTTATTGGAGGCGGGGTGGGGCAGAGAGAGGGGAGTACCCACAGAGAGAAATAAAGGTTCATCACTGGGGTGACTTTAAATAGGGATTCTCTTTATCCGCGTTTAGGGATCTTCAGCTCTTTCTTCCATAGTCTGGTGGGCGGAGTCTCTTGCAGATCACATTAGTAAGAGACACTCCTAGTAAGTCCTGATTCGGTGACCTTGAACCTCTTTTTACGTGGCTGGGCGGAATATGCTGTTCATTGTCCTCAGCTGAGTTCCAGAGTCCCATTTGAACATTTTTTGGTCACCCACTGGTTAAGTGTGCCCTTGAAGATGACAGAGCTCTGTCTGGGAACCTGGATGTGGAATTGCCAGCTATAGAGCAGAGCATACTTGCTCTTTGAGTTAGTTTTATACCTGCATCTTTTTCTGAGCCTAGTCTTTTTTGGGGATAAGCCTGGTCACTAGGTTTTCAATACGTATGTGAAAATTGGCTTTTAAATACATAATAATCATCACGGTCACGGTCACGGTTCTCCCGTTGTTCATCAATTTTGCTCGAGCGGGCCCAGTAACGTCTCCATTATGAGACTTGTTACTGTGTTTGGCATATTGAGTACGTCACTGGTAGCTTGCCAGGGTCTGCCGAGCGGGCGAGATCCTCTCGGTAGCTTGCCGGGCTCTCCAAGAGGGGTGGAGGAATCGAACTCGGGTCGGCCATGTTGGCCGCGTGCAAGGCAAATGCCCTACCCACTGTACTATTGCTCCAGCCCTTATTTTCACTATATGGGAATATTTCATGATACAATTTAAGAAATTATTTTAATCTACATCAATCAACCACAATGTAATCTAGCTCAGGTAGGCTAAAGTTAGTTGCTCCAAATCAATGTGGAAACCTGAACCCTCAATGTCTGACCTTGAGACTTTGATGTTAAAATTTGTGATACTGTTACCTAAAGCATGGAATATACAGTGCTCAGTCTTTTTAAATTTACACAATTACAAATTTTGAATTTCTGTGAGGTTAAAAACACTAAATGCTTAAGAAATATCAAGGGGCTAGTTAGTCTTGGAGTATAACAAATTAAGAGTAACTTTCTGAAAATTGAGGGTATTTGGCTATCTTAATCATCTTGTAAGGGACAGTAACACATTTACAAATAGATCCGGGTCATCTATCCAAAATGCAATGACTTGTGGAGACAGAAGAATATTGTCCAGTTAGCTGATGATGGAGCGATAGCACAGCGCGTAGGGCATTTGCCTTGCACGTGGCCAACCCGGGTTCGATTCCTCTGTCCCTCTCGGAGAGCCCGGCAAGCTATCGAGAGTATCCCGCCCACAGCGCAGAGCCTGGCAAGCTCCCTGTGGCATATTCGATATGCCAAAAACAATAACAAGTCTCACAATGGAGACGTTACTGGTGCCCGCTCGACCAAATCGATGAACAACAGGAGGACAGTGCTATAGTGTTACAGTGCTAAAAGTTTAAGCCTATTCTAATTTATAAAATAAATTAATGTAGAAGTTATGAGCAATGGTTTAAGCCTATTCCAATTTAGACGCCATTGGGCTACACATTTTAATTATAAAATAAATTAATGTAGAGGTCATGAGTTCATGACCCTCTTTTGTGTTGTTTATGTGTTTAAACAACCTTTTCCCTTCTTGGGATTACTTTTTACAGGCATTTCCATCCATTTGTCCATCCATTCATCTAACAAACATTCATTTAGTTCCTATTGTGTCTAACTCCCTTCTGCTCTCAACCTTCGCAACCCTTCTTTCTGAAATACATGCCATCCAGGGGTCAGCTGATTTGTTCCAACTAAGGTAGTGAGTTTGTCTGTTACACCTCAGCTGGAAGGGTCTGACTTCTACTTGTTGGTATTTATCTTGGGGTCTGTGATAAGAGTGAATCCAAATTGTGGGGATAAGTAAGAGCACTTTTGTAAATTTAAGGGTTTATACGTATGGGTTTTTAAGTAGCATGAGCTTTGCTCTTGTTTGATTTCTGCTGCACGTCTTGCCCTAGCCAAGCTACCTGGTTCTGTTGGTTTTGGTTCTGCTGTGCTAACAGTTAGCAGGTATGTCTAGCTGTCAGGAAGTGAGTGTGCACTGGGCCAACGTTTATGGTGTATGTGAAAGAAACTCAAGAATTTCAGCTATTAACAAAAAACACAAATTGCTTTTATGTCATAAAGGTTGTTTATTCATGAAGCTATTATTTAATAGTTCGTTCTTTCAAAAAATCATTTTTTCCATGTAATTGCCCTACCATAAGCACTAAACCCGAGAAACTATCAGTGTAGACTAAACTCTTGTAACTAACAATGAAAACATTTTAGGTATTTTGGTTAATTTTTTGGGCTGTACCCTGTGGTGCTCAGGGCTTACTCCTGAACCTAGTAGGGCTCAGTGGATCATAAGGGTTATTGGAGATTGACCCCAGGTTACTCATGTGCAAGGCAAACTCCCAACCCATGTACTATTTCTCCAGCTCCCAAAACTTAAAATAATTTAAGTTAATCACTTAATCACTTAACTTCCCATTAGTCGTCGATTTGCTCGAGCGGGCGCCAGTAACGTCTCCATTTGTCCCTGTCGCGTGCTAGTGTAGCCCAATGGCATCTCTTCGCTCCGGGAACATGGAGGGCCTCAAACCGATCGTTTATGATCTTGACAAAGAAGTCTGACCATCTGGTAGGTGGGCGGCCACGCAGTCTTTTGACATCCCGTGGAATCCAGTCGGTAACAGCTCTAGTCCAACGGTCATCTTTAAATCTCATTACGTGACCAGCCCATCTGATTTTCGACACCTTGGCAAATGAGACAGCGTCCCTGATCCTTGATCGTCGACGGATGTCAGAACTCCGGATTCGTTCTCTCATTTGAGTGAAATGTGATATTCCAAGCATAGCTCTTTCTATTCTTCTTTGGGAGACCTGAATGGCGTTCTCATCTTGTTTGCGTAGGGCCCAGGTCTCTGAGGCATATGTTAATGCAGGAAGAACAGTGGAATCAAAGAGATGTGCCCGGAGCCGGAGGTTCTTCGTCCTCTTAGCTATTTCTTCGACGTTCTTGAAGGCGTTCCAAGCCGCTCTCTTCCTCCTGCGCAGCTCGGGTGCCAGGTCATTTGTCATGTTGACCTCTTGACCTAGGTACACATAGCTGTTGCATTCGGAGATGGTCGTTCCATTGAGAGCGAATGGGGCATCAGGAACAAGGCTGTTTCTCATAAACATTGTCTTCATAAGATTCAGCTGTAGTCCTACCTTTCCACACTCACGGTCAAAGTCGGCCAGCATTTGTGCCGCTTGGCTGATGTTTGGTGTTATTAAAACAATGTCATCAGCAAAGCGGAGGTGGTGTAGTTGCCGACCATCTATCTTCACTCCCATTCCTTCCCATTCCAGTCGTCGCATGATGTTCTCGAGGGTGGCACTGAAGAGTTTTGGTGAAATGGTATCACCCTGCCGCACCCCTCTCTTGACATCAACGATCACTTCTTTGTAGAATGGTGAGATCCTGGTAGTGAATCCGCAATAGAGCTCACGGAGGATCCTGATGTATTGGGCTTGAATGCCCTGATTGGCTAGGGCTTCAATGACTGCTTCCATCTCAACAGAATCAAAGGCCTTCTTTAAATCAATGAACGTTAAGCAGAGCGGCATCTTGAACTCCCGAGAAACCTCAATGAGTTTGGTTATCGTGTGGATATGGTCGATGGTGCTGAATCCTTTGCGGAACCCTGCTTGCTCACATGGTTGTCCTTCATCTAGTGTTCTGCCAATCCTATTCAGGACGACTCGAGTGAACAACTTGTAGATGACAGACAATAGGCAGATCGGGCGATAGTTGCCAATGTCATGGATGTCTCCCTTCTTGAACAGTAGTACGGTCCTGCTGGTTTTCCATTGAGATGGAACCTTGCATTCAGACAGGTAGCGAGTGAAGAGCCGAGCCAGTGTATTGATGAGTACTGACGGCAGGTTCTTCAGGTGTTCAGGTCTGACCTTGTCTGGGCCGGGTGCTGTTTGCTTCTTTACTGACGAAATGGCGTGTCGGATTTCGGAAGGGAGAACGTTGGGAACGACATACCCATCCTGTGGAATTTGGTATGTCGGCAAGTGGACATGGCTATCGAAGAGATTTGAGTAGAAGTCATGGATAATCTTCTCCATTGCCGTTCTGGAGGATGTGATGGATCCATCAGGACGTCGGAGGGCAGTCATCTTGGTCTTGTAGTTGGCGAAGGACAGGCGGGCGTTACGAATACTTTTCCCGGCTTCTGCCGCATCTACCAGTACTTCTGCTCTTCTCTCTTTGAGGTCTTCCTTGATCGCATCTCTGCACTGCTTTGCAAGCTCGGTCGCGCCAGAAATTGACATTGAGGCCTCCGGGGACGAGGCAAGCGTCCACTTTGGGCTCGAGCGCCGTGGCGCGACCATGGACCGGAGGAAAAAGCCCCTGGACGTGACAGCGTCCTCTTTGGTGGACCTGAAGGCCGAACTCTTCCGGAAACAAGAAGAATTCAAGCAAGAAAAACTCCTAAAAGATTCTGGAGTTTTGGGGAAACCAAAAACAACTAACAAGAAACCGAGTATCTGGACCAAGCAGAATGCAGGGGTTTCCAGCCGGGCTGAGAAGGATGCCGAGGAGAAGATCGAGGAGCAGAAGACGTTAGACAAGGCGAGGGAGAAACTGGAAGAGAAAGCCAAATTATATGAGAAAATGACTCAGGGAGACTTTATAGACGAAGAGGTGGAGGAGATGTACCTGGTGGACTTCAACCAGAAGATCATGGACAGACATCGGGAAAACGGGGCACCTGCTGCCCACAGGCCCGCGGGGGACAGGGAGGACGAGGAGGAGGAGCGCCTTTCCGAGAAGGACATCCCCCCGCCCCAGGACCCCAGTGAGGAGTGGGTGGATTACGTGGACTCTCTGGGCCGGTCCCGGCGCTGCATGAAAAAGGATCTACCGCACCTGCTGGAGCTGGACAAGAACCTCCAGGGGAGGCTTTTTCTCAGCCCTGCCAATGAGAAATCCTTACTGTCGGAAGACATGCGGAAAGAGCTGCAGCGCCAGGAGTGGGAGGAGGAAGAACGGGAGGCCCTGAAAAGGCCCATGGGCCCCATCCACTACGAGGACATCCGGGAAAACGAGGCCCGGCAGCTTGGTGTTGGCTATTTCGCCTTTGCCCGAGACAAGGAGCTCAGGAACAAGCAGATGAAAACGCTGGAAATGCTGCGTCAGCAGACCACGGATCAGAGAACAAAGCGAGAGAACATAAAGGAAAAGCGGAAGGCCCTGTTAGAAGCACGGCTCGCTAAACTGCGGCAGAAGAAGATGAAGAAGTCAAAGGAGGATGGAACCGAGGAAGGAAGTACAGATGGAGATGTGATTGGACCTTTGCCACCAGAGCCAGAAGCTGTGCCACCCCCACGTGCAGCCGCCCCCAGCAGCAATTTAAGTTATTTCATAAAATAATTTGATGGCCTAAAACAACAGAATTTATTACTTCTCACTGCATATCCTTTGGGGATTACTCTAAGTCTTCTTGCTTTTACTTGGGGACCCATGGATATTGGGTGACTGTTTTCCAGCAGAATAGAAAAAAATATATAACAACCACACATTGATTCATTAGCACATTAAATTCATGGTAGAAAGTGGTATCCTACTATGTGCCAGGTAGAGGAAAATTTATTTGTGAGCCATCTTAGGGACAATAATAGGAAATAAAGATGAAAAGGACAAAATGTTGACTCTGAAAGACCTCAAGCTGGGAGAACCACAATGAGATAAATATCTTTCATAGATCCATGATATAGTAGGAGCTGAGAGAAGAATGCCCTAATTTTGTTGGTATAGGGAGGTGGGGAAAGTTTATACAGAGACTTTGATGTTTGAGATTTAAATTTTTTTAAATATTTTAAGAATTTTTAAATTAAGTAATTTTTATTGAGATATGCAATGTAATGAATGTAATGATTTAATATTTTTATATATTGTGAAATGATCAACACAATAAATCTAATTCACACTTATCACCACACACAACTTTTTCCTTATGATTAGAACTTTTAAGATCTAGTGTTTTAGAAACTTTCAAATATGTAGTGTAGTTTTTATTAATTGGTCTCTTTGCTGTAATAATTTCCATAAATTATTTATTTTGTCACTGGGCATCTGTACCTTTTTACCCCTTCACAAATTTCCATCTCCCTACCTCTGGCAACCACCAATCTTTCCTCTGTATATAAATATATCATTTAAAAATTTTAAATTTTGTGGTAAAAATAAAATAACAAAATTTTATACCTTAAAGGCCCTCCCATTGATCATCGATTTGATCGAGCGGGCCCAGTAACGTCTCCATTGGAGACTTTGTTGTTACTGTGTCTGGCATATCGAATACGTCACGGGGAGCTTGCCAGGCTCTGCCGTGCGGGCGAGATACTCTCGGTAGCTTGCCGGGCTCTCCGAGAGGGGCGGAGGAATCGAACTCGGGTCGGCCATGTTGGCTGCGTGCAAGGCAAACGCCCTACCGCTGTGCTATCGCTCCAGAGCGATAGCACAGCAGGTAGGGCATTCGCCTTACAAGCGGCCAACATGGCCGACCCGAGTTCGATTCCTCCGCCCCTCTCGGAGAGCCCGCCAAGCTACCGAGAGTATTCGATATGCCAGACACAGTAACAACAAAGTCTCCAATGGAGATGTTACTGGGCCCACTCGAGCAAATCGACGATCAACAGGAGGGCCTTTATACCTTAGTCATTTTCTGGTGTATAGAGGCACTAAATTCATCCAATTTTGTTCTATCAACAGAAATCTTTTCATCTTCTGAAACTGAAGTTCTATGCCCTTTAAAAGCTAACTCTTCGACACAGAGTAGCAAAATGAAACCAGAAACTAAAACCAACATTACGTTGTCTAAAAGAAACTCATCTGAACAGTTAGAGCAAACATAGACTCAAAGTTAAAGGATGGAAAAACAATCCTGCAAGCAAACAGCTCCCTCAAGAAAGCTGGGGTGGCCATACTAGTATTCAACAACATTAATTTCAGGCTGAAAAAGATTAGAAGGGACAGCTAAGGCTATTTTCTATTTATCAAGGGATATGTACAACAGGAAGAAATCACACTCTTAAATGTATATACACCTAATGAGGGGCCAGCCAAATACTTAAAACAACTGCTAACAGATTTTAAGGAGGACATTGCTAGCAACACAATAGTTGTCTGAGATTTCAGCATTGCCTTACCACTTCTGGATAGATCAACAAGAACAAAACTCAGCAAGGAAACATTGGCTTTGAAGGAAGAAATAGAAGAGAGAGGGCTAATAAACCTATACAGGGCTTTACACCCCAAAAAGAAAGAAAACACAATCTTCTCCAGTACACACAGAACATTATCCAAAATAGACCACGTGCTAGGCCACAAAATATGCCTCAATAGAATAAGGAAGATAGAAGTAGCATCAACAATCTTCAAACCACGATGTGCTGAAGATAGAAGTGAATCACACAAAGACACCGAGAAACAAATCAAACACCTGAAAATTAAACACTCAATGTTGAACAACGAGTGGGTCAGGAAGGAACTCAACAAAATAAAAAGATACCTGGAAACAAATAAAAATGAAGACATGAGCTACCAGAACCTATGGGACGCTGCTAAAGCCATGTTAAGAGGAAAATTTATAGCTTTGAAAGCATTCCTAAGGAAGGAATAAAGGGCCTTCATAGATAACCTGACCTCACAGCTCAAGATCTTAGAAAAAGACCAACAAAAGGAATTCAAATTTAGCTGAAGAAAAGAAATAATAAAACTTAGAGCAGAAATTAATGACATGGAAACCAAAAAACAATCCGAAAGGTCAATGAAACCAAGAGCTGGTTCTTTGAGAAAATAAACAAGACTGATAAACCACTAGCAAGACTCACAAAGAAAGAGAGAGAGAGAACCCTAAAAAACCGACATCACAACAGAAACCAATGAAATTCAAAAGATCATCAGAGACTACTTTGAGAGTCTGTATGCCATGAAACAAGAGAACCTAGAAGAAATGAATAAACTCCTGGATTCCTATAATCTCCCAAGATTGAACCGAGAAGACTTGGCATACCTGAATAGATCCATTCATATCAAGGAAATTGAAACTATAATCAAAAGTCTTTCTGAAAACAAAAGCCCAGGCCCAGATGGATTCAGCACCTAAAAGGAGAGAGAGTACAAAGGGGAATGCCCTGTCAAAGAGGGGGTGGGACGGGGGGTGGGGGTGGGAGGTGGGAGTGATACTGATCACTGGATCATTGGTGGTGGAGAATAGGCACTGGCGGAGGGATGGGTACTCGATCCTTGTATAACTGAAACCCAAGCACAAAAACTTGTAAGTCTACAACTGTACCTTATGGTGTTTCACTAATAAGAATTCAACAACAACAACAACAGCAGCAGCAGCAGCTAACTCTTCAATCACTCCCCTAACCGCTGTCCCCTGACCAGCTACCCCTGGCTCAAGTCTCTATCAACTCTCTACTCTCTAACTGTTCTAGGTATCGTTTAAGTGGAATCATCCAGTATTTGTCTCTTTATGATTGGTGTGTGTTTCATATAGCATAATATCTTTAAGGTCTTCAAGACTTATCCGATTAAGAAGCATCAGAATCATCTTCATTTCTTTTTTTTTTATTTTAAATGACTGTTTATTAATTCATTGTATAGATGGCCATTATTTGTTTGACTGATGCCCTGCTATTGAACATATATTATTTCCTTTAATTTCCATTTGAAGTTATGCATAATTCTACAATAGTATCTTTTGGCATGCTTTGCATGAAGGAAACCTGGATTTGATCCCTGGCGCCACATGATCCCCAAACACTGCTGAGAGGGACCTCTAAGAACGAAACCACTAGTAGCCCTTGAGTAGTCCATGTATGAAAGAACCAAATATAAACGTATCAGTTCAATTTTGTTACATAGCTCTTGAAAGCCTCACATTTCTGCCATTATAATATAGCTGCATATTATAAGAATTTTTAAACAGCTCTGTCTGTCCTCTTCTTTTTTTTTATATTTATTTATTGAATCACCGTGGGAAAGGTTACAAAGCTTTCAGGTTTATGTCTCAGTCATGCAAATATCAAACACATTTCCCTTTACCAATACTTATTTTTTACCATGAAGAACCCCAATAAAACCCCACCCCCCACCCCTCCCCGTCCCTGTGAGGCAGATGAATTCTAGTTAACACTCTATCTGCTTTGATTAGATTCATTGTTTCAATAAAAGATTCACCACTATTATTTAGAGTTTACCCCCCCCCCCCCCCCAAATCAGACATGCTGAAAAAGCATTGTGAAGTGATTTGCTTTCTATGGCTGGGTTCAAGAATTAAATGTTGGTTTTGGATTTCTGCTATTTTACCTATTGACCCTGGAAGTATTTCTACTGAAAGTCAGATAGTTAAGAAATTGGTTTCTGTGTTCTGGAGTCCTGGCCGTGCTGGAGAGCCGCTCGTGGGGGGCAACCGGTGGCCTCGGTAGGGCGTGAAGGGCGGAGCGAAACGCCCCCCTTCCCATGAGGTTTTAGTCGCCCCCACACTCCCGGCTCATACCTGCTGTCCACAAGGCTCCCATGTGGCCGCCATCTTTCTTTCCAGAGAGGAGAGGGCGAATGGGGCAACACCCTTTCCCCTCCGGCAGACTTGATGGCCTGGATCAATGCATAGTCCATTCACTTTTCTGCTCCAAGCTGCTGGGTTCTGCATTAAGTCCTTGTGCTTCTGGGGCCGTGGCCGTGCTGGAGAGCCGCTCGCGGGGGGCAACTGGTGACCTCGGTAGGGCGTGAAGGACGGACTGGAACGCCCCCCTTCCCATGAGGTTTTAGTCGCCCCCACACCCCCGGCTCATACCTGCTGTCCACAAGGCTCCCATGTGGCCGCCATCTTTCTTTCCAGAGGGAGGAGGGCGGAAGGGAGCAACACCCTTTCCCCTCTGGGCAGAAATGATTGCCTGGATTAACGCATAGTCCTTTCACTTTTCTGCTCCAAGCTGCTGGGTTCTGCATTAGGTCATTGTGCTTCTGGGGCTGTGGCCGTGCTGGAGAGCCACTCGTGGGGGGCAACTGGTGACCTCGGTAGGGCGTGAAGGACGGACCGGAACGCCCCCCTTCCCATGAGGTTTTAGTCGCCCCCACACTCCCGGCTCATACCTGCTGTCCACAAGGCTCCCATGTGGCCGCCATCTTTCTTTCCAGAGAGGAGAGGGCGAATGGGGCAACACCCTTTCCCCTCCGGCAGACTTGATGGGCTGGATCAACGCATAGTCCGTTCACTTTTCTGCTCCAAGCTGCTGGGTTCTGCATTAAGTCCTTGTGCTTCTGGGGCCGTGGCCGTGCTGGAGAGCCGCTCGTGAGGGGTGACTGGTGAGCTCGGTAGGGCGTGAAGGACGGACTGGAACGCCCCCCTTCCCATGAGG